CATGTTCTCTTTCAGATGCCTACCCGTTTGGCCAATGACATTTGCTCGTCCACCTTCAGAGTTAGTGTCTGATTCCTCCAATTCCTTGGTGATGCTTTCATGGGTTCAGAATTCGGTTGAAAGATTTCAGTTACTACTGCCCACTTTTCTATTTGCTGTGAGCCGTTGACAAATCTTGCATCACAGAGCACACTCACTATTCCATTGTTTCCAAATGCAAACCAGAAATATATTCTACTACAACAAATATAGCAGAAGGACATTGGGACACTGTTTTGGTGTCACATCATACCTAGAGTAGTTTGTAAGCATCGCCAGATATGTTACCATCAAAGTGTCGTTGTACCCCTGCAAAAAAAAATACAAAATTCTTTTAAAAAAAAAAAAAAAAACTGTATAAGTTTTGAAATCAACAAATGCTGAAACATCAGAGATGATAGCAGCGTAAAGTGGAACATCAAAACAGAGGATTTTTAATCAAATTAGCAGTCAGTCATTTTAATTTAATATCCAAAGAACATAAGTGTCATTCTATAGAGCAGAACTTTCATGACAAGACAGAATTCGAATTCTATTTTTCACATTCATTTTCCTAAGCAACACAGTGCATTATTTTAATATTTTCCAAATTTGCAGCACCTTTCTCTTATGAATACATAATAAGACAACACTTTCATCACCAGAGACTACAAAAGTTTTCGGAAACTGAACTGTAAGATAAAACTAAAAACTTGCGGCTCAAAACAAATGAATAAATAATATAATAATAAGAAGTTGTGAAGAGCATATAGTCAGATTTTAGTTTCCGGTGACCTACTTTCTTGCTTTATAGCCAGCTATCATGTTCTCTTTCAGATGCCTACTTTCCTCCTCTTTATGCAATAATACGTATTTGCCATTATTTTGTTTGTTATTGGAACTCACCATGATGCTCAAGCTCCTGTTTTGGAAGAAGGTACATAAAAAAAATACAGTGCCATACTCACTGGCACGTGGATGAACATCTTTAGCCATATCAGCAATTAGAAGACCCCCAAAAATGACTGTCTTCGCAACTCTGTATCACCTAAAGGGAGACTACATGAGTTACAAAGCATGAAAAAAGACAAAAAATCATCCAAATCATCAGAAAATACAAAATAGATGAGCAAAATATTGTATCACCATGACAACAATGGTATTGTACCTTTGCTTTTCTGAACCCGGTTTGTCCTGAGAAACACTTTGATGGACTGTCTCTACGTTGTTTTTTGAAGTGGAATTGACCTCTTTACTTTCTTTCACAAGTGAAATGTAGAAAATCATAAATTAAGATCATAGCATTCTTCATCTGAGTTTTCTGACCCCCAACCATAGACCCAATAGCTTGATCAGCAACGTCAACAGTGGCACTGGAAGGTCATAAACAAAATTGAAGTACATGTATCATATATACAGTACAATAACAAATTTCAGACTACTGATTTCTTAGCCATTGCACTCAAGAAGATTGAGTGAAACTCAAATAAGGCATAAGCAAATTCAAATTTAACTACGTAGCCAAAGATTTGGAATGATCAACATGAAGTAAATTCTTATAAATGAAAACCATTCAACAAAGAACTTACTATTGAACAAAGCCAAAGCCTTGTTAGCTGACGCTGTATCTAGGATTTTTTTGAAAAGGAAAAAAGAAGTTGAAGAATTCGGGAAAATGCATGAATAATTCATCAAATATAAATTTTAGTTGCTGGGGAGAAAAGAAGAACAAAGATTAAATCATTAGTCAATCTGCATCATTGTACACAACCTATATATACATTCCCCCAAAACAGATGAAGATAATAGAGAGATAAGCTACCAAACAAGACCGTGGTATAGTGCATTTCAATGTCGGACATAAGAATCTCAGGAGCTGATTACCAAATGTGTTTCTGTTTCTCAGTATCAAACGACTTGACCACGCCTTCATAAAACCTGCCATGTTCGGCATATTGAAGATAATCTTGTAAAACCAAAATTAACAAACAGTTCATGATAGAGATAACTCACCGTTTACCCTTTGTCCACCAAACCTTTATTCTGCAACCAATAACTGAGTTGTTGACTTTCTCTTTCCGTTGAAGTACACTGAATAAGAAAAAATTCAACTGTAAGAATACGAACAAGTAGCAGTAAAGGGATGAAACGAAACTATAGCTAGGAACCAGACACTTCTTCAATAAGTAAGACCTTCGGATTCACTGATTGAGTATGCTGAATTAGGAAACAATTCAACCCATGTTGGAACAATGGATCTGATCAACAAATGTTGGAAGAACTTCCCCTTCTCCACGATTCACCTTGAATCGGCTTGAATTCCGCAAAAAACCAGTGGTTTATAAGTCGAAAATGGACTTTAAATAGTTTTGGAAATTCCACTCCCGGAATCAAATCAAAGAAATCATCAAAATCACAATCTCAACTGCCTAAACCTAAAAGGATTAGAAGTTTAACATCGTTTTCAGATGAAAATAGAATATAGATTGAGTTCAAAAAACTTCATCGAACTAATTTAAATACCTGGAGACAAGAACAATATATAGTAAGAATCGGCGGCGGCGGCGGCGGCGGCGGCAGCGGAATTGGAGAATTGGTTGGCGGCAGCGGCCGGTAGCGGGAGGAGGGAGTTTTCTTTGGGTTTGGAGGAATTGGTCGGGGAAGAAGTGGTCGACGGACGAAGCGGGAGGATGAGGTTCTTCATATGTAAAAACCGACGACGCCAAACGGCTTTGGATTGGGAGATATTGCTGGCGATCGGAGAAGGGGTTTTTTATTCGGGGTTGTAGAATTGTTTGGGCGGCAGCTGGCGGTGACAGAGTTTTTGCGAAGAAAAGCAAGAAATTATTATATTTTTACAAACATTATCGCTTTTTATATTTTTTTTAAAAAAAGGAGGGGTAGCTAAACAAAGTAGGGGTCGCGTTATTGTGTTTTAAAAAAGGAGGGGCGGTGAACACTTAATCGGACCCAGAACGACGTCGTTTTTGGTTCGGGGGTTTTACAATAATGATCCAAAATGTGGTCGTCTTGAGTTCTGGCATTTTTTAAAATAATATAGAAAAATAAAATTCAATTATGAATTTACAACTTTGTCCCTCCATAAGTTCATTGACTTCCGTCAAATTGTTTTAAACCGTCAGATTGAGGCCTTTGGACGGTCATGATTATACTTTTCCCTAATTTCTTAGGGATTCAGACTTTTATTCAAAACCTAGTGATCGAGCATTCGTCGCGCATCGCGCGACGCACTCTATTAATAATTTTATGTAATTTTTTTTGTTTTCTAGTTAAGTTGGTTTTGTGATTATTATTTTAGAAAATTTAAAATTAGAAAAATTCATTCTTGACATTGTATTTGTAATTTTTGATGATTTTCTAGATTTTGTGTATATAGAAAGACCAAACCACGTCGTTTTAACATCACGATTTTTAATTAAACAAAACTTGTAAATTGTTTAAATGATGGTTTTACTCCTAACTAAAAACCTAATGTCACACGCGACCAGTTTATTTTTACAATACTTTATTATAAAAATTTTTATCATAGAATTTATTTTGTATTAAATTTTGAGACGAATGAATAACAAACAGGAAAAGTTAATTATATGTGGTTTAAAACGATTTTTTATTAAAGTAGAGCGAATTGGAAAATCTCAATATCACATTTGTTGGAAGATCTCTTGCATATTGCGTTATTTATTTCTAAAGTTTTGATTTGTCATTCTAGCTATATTTTTCTACTATGTTTATATGTTTCTAAGGTTTAGTTTTAGTTTGAATTATTTCTATAGTGACAAAACATAGTGATTGATGTGGACTAATTATGACACCTAGTTTTTTGCCACTTTCTCGTTGAAGTTTTTTTTTCCCTCCCAAAATTACATTTTTACCCCTTGATTAATAATTAGACATGTTTAGTAAGTGTGTGGTGTATTTGTCTTTTGATTTGTCACTATCCAAATTCACTATAAGTTTTCACTATATTTATCATTGCTCTTTCAATAAATAGCATAATTATCGCAATAATAATTTTACTTAGCCTTGCCACAATTGAAACATATATTATTAGAATATTTTGTTTTTTTACAAGTACTTCAGAAAATCATATCCTCAATTCTTTCATTTCTTTCTTTATTTTAGAAATTAAGGCCAACCGTAATGTTTTACATTGCAAGGTTTTAAAGAAACGCTACTATGACTACATTATACGAAATGTATTATACTGTAGTTTCTCTATTTTAGATAACGTTTTGTTAATCATTTTGATGATAGACTTTTTTGTCGCATCAAAATTTATATTAAAAGAATAAAACTTGTTTACAGAATGAATGAAACTTTATTGACTCGGAGTGCCGCAATTTTATTCAAACTTCCCATTTGCTAAAGCAGTTTGCTTTTTGTAGGCATCTTAAGTTGTCTGAGCGTTCAGGCAAAGAGGCCTGACTTACAAACAGAAATAGGAAAAAAAAAAACGTTTCATCCAAAACAAATAACTGCGCGAGTAAAAGAATAGCCAAAACAAAAATTCATAGAACAGACAACTAAAGCAAAAGAGAATGACATGCACATTTATGTTTGTACAGAGTTCAGGCTTAATCAATCTCTCAACTCGGTAAAATGATATGTTTATTTCTTTTTTTTAATGTGTGTTTTTAGCTGTTTTTTATATTGAGAATGTAAAAAAGTATGTTGGAATGAGACAAGTATTAATATTAAATTCTGAAAACACCAACAAAAAAAGAAAACAAACAAAGCCTCTCTTAGGATATTATTCTAACCCGAAACCATATAGTAATAATAACCAACTACGATTAGCAGCACCAACACCAAAGCAGCTGAAGCAGCCCACATCCAGAAGTTGCTTTTCTTTAATATAAGTAGATGATCTAGGGTTGCTGCCTTTTTGTGCTTGAGTATAGCTCTTGGAAGTGCATCTGAATCCCTGAACCTAACAACTTTATGTCTCATTGGATTCTCCTTCATTTCTTTGTCTCTTTGATGGTGCTGGAGTACAACTGTTTCTTCTGCCTTCTCTGCATCACCAGCATCATAGTAACAGCTTCAGTTTGTTCCTCATCCTCTGGAACATCACCTGACAAGCCAGCTTTCTTCTTTGCTCTCTTTTCACGATCCTGTAATACCATTAAAAAAAACGTCCATTTTATTATAAGCAAACCTGTAATATAAGGCGCCAATCCTAACAATCTAGCACAAGGAGAAAATTTAGATGCCATTTGATTTACCTTGAGTTTCTTCTCAGCTTCCTTCTGGGCCTTGATAACAGCTTTTTGAGCTGTTTTTGAGTTCCGTCTTCTCATCAACTTCAATCACCTTTGGAGGATCTTTCATCACCTTTTCAGGCACATAGGATTCCTCTTTATCTACTACATCAGCTGCCTTTGAGCTAGGGGTTTAAAGAACTGGAGCCCTCTTTTGGTGCCTGTTTCACAGACACTCTTGATATAACCTTGGCTTCAGGTGGGAACGCTTTCTCAACCAACAAAATAGGCTTCTTGTTGTAGTTACTCATTCGTCCATCCCTATTCATCTGTTGATTGGCAGAGAAGATAAAATCTCTTCTCATAATCCTCTCGAAAAGACTTACTACTATTCCACTGGGAGATAAATTTATCAATATGTCAAGAGTAGACGGAAGAGTCAGAAGAGGCCAAAGCAGAACACGATAATATGTTTTTCTGTTCTCATTAATATAGAGTAAAAAAAGAAATAAAGAGATGTCTAATAATCCTACAAAAAGAAAGAGAGGTCTAACTGCTTCATGAGCAAATTAGTCCAGATTAGAAAACACTGATGAAACACAATGAAGACATATGGGGATAATAGTCTATGATTCAGTACCTAAAAATTGAGTAGAAGCAGGCATATCTTCACCTAAAAAGTGTGTCCTAGAGGTAAGCCTTCCTACATGTTGTACACTGTCATTTGGTTCGTGATGGAGAATCTCTGAAATGAAATTCACAAAGAGAAAAGCATCAGAAACATCGGTGGAAACAAACAAAGATACAGAGAAAAAAATAAGATCCAGATAACTACGACCAAGATACGGAAACAAACAAAGAAAAGAGACCTAATAATCTGAACCAAAAAAAAAAAAAAACAAGGAACCGGTGGATCCATGCGGCGCAACTAAACCAATAAAAATACAAAGAAAAACCTGGCCGAATCTATCAAAACCTCAAGTACTTGCCAGAGAAATCAAGCAGTAACTGGGTAACAACAAAAATAATCCCGTAGAAGATTTCAATCCTGTAAAAGGTCTTATAGATTTCAACTTTCAACTCAAGTAAAAATAAGATCTAGACAACTACGACCAAGATACGGAAGCAAACAAAAGAAAACCTAGCAACCTGAACCAAAAAAAAAAAAAGAACCAACCAACCGGTGGATCCATGTGGCGGAACTGAATCAATAAAACTATAAAAAAAAACCTGGCCGAATCTATCAAAACCTCAAGTACTTGCCAGAGAAATCAAGCAGTAATTGGGTAACAAAACAAAAACCCAATAAAACCTCTGATTATAATTCAAAACATCATCAAATTAGATGAGTGAAACAAAGCGGAATCAACAGTGCGCCCGAGGGAATGGAGAAACTAAATTATAATTTGATGATGTTAACAAATTAATACATATAATGAGCACCAGTCACATGGTTAAAAAATGTGACCAACAAATTAAAACTTCAGGATCTTTCTTAGTTATAAATGGTAGATTATACACATAAAGTAACCAGTCACATGGTTATTCTTATCACGATGAGTCATTTATATGCCAGTAAATTCACATGTCATGTGGCAACACAGCTGAGCATAGACATAACATGCAAAGAGATGGTTATGTGCCAATGAGAATCTAAAAGACCAAAGTCTTCTAGAACACAGTGAAGTGTACGCACTTGATTGCTTAAAGTGATAATAGAAATTTCACAAATTAGAAAGGAAAGCTAGATATATACTTGCTATGATTTTCTCAACTGCAACTATGAAAATCAATCCCATAAAGTGAAAAAGTTCAATATGAAAAACAACACTTACGGTTTCCAAAGCTTCACAAAAGGGTACAAAGCTCCTCCACCGGAAAGAAGCTGCCACAGCAATATAACGTTTGCAGCCATATCAATTTCCCCTAATGTTCCAAATTTCAACTGGACCTTCTTCCATACTAAAATAAATAAATAAATAAATAAAACAAAAATAAATTGCCAAAGAATTCAGCTTCAATTCCAAGTACACTAAACAATTCAATTGAATATTGAAGTCACCTCCGCCTCTTCTTCCCTCGTTATTCCCTTCTTCTCATTTTCCTTCGATGACTTGAAGCTGGACAACTGAATTGAATTGAACATAATATGATTAATTAGTTTCAATGTTGCAATCGGCTGAATCACAATAATATATAATAATAGTATTGCAAATCTATAGAATTACAGCTTTAGAAGATAGAACAATTTAAATAAGATTTAAATCATGGATTTAAGTAGAAGAGGAAGCAAATTCACATTCGGTCAGTGCAAATAGCCTTCGCCTTCATGTCAAAGCTTGCCGGTTGTTCTCACAAAATTGGTGGCGACCGGGGGAGCGTGAAGATGACTGGAAAAGGGAGGTCTAATAGAAGCGTCCAAAATTCATCGTTTATGGAGGCCAACGGATAAAAGGGAATTGAAGAGAAGAGAGAAAAGGAGACGGAAAGAGAGAATCGTCGGCTGGAATTTGCAGTAGGCGAAGAAACTGGAGGTTCGAACCTGGTTTATATATGGGGGCTTCGGATCGATGCGGTGTCGTTTTGGCAAAGGGGATTTTGCCAAAAATTTCAATTAGTTAATTACAACTTTGTCCCTAATTAAAAGTGATGTAAGAGTGATGTCACGTGGTGACCGCCGGGCCAATCAAATTACAAGAAACTGTTTGGCTAAACGTGATTTTTATATTAGCTTATAGATTAATACTTGAGCATTTGTCGATACACGACGCACTCCATAAATAATTTGGAGTATTTGGTTTACTACTTGGTACATACGGGTGTGTGTTCATTATTATTTTCAAAAAAATCATCCTTAAGATATAAAATAATCACAGTACGAAAATATTAGTTGGAAAAATTGTGATATTGAGCGACCAAGGAATTTCGTACTTTTCAACTGGTTCTGTGTATAGATAAAACAGGAACTGAAACAAAACACACTCGCATAGAATACAAGTTGCAAGCTAATTGGATAAATACAAGTTGCAAGCTAATTGGATAAATACATGGAGTTGTTGCCATTGTAAACCCTTCAATCCTCTGTAATATTGCTTTGAGAAAGATGAATTGCATGGTCTAAGCAAATGCTTCATTGTTTTCCGAGAGTGACTTTACACCTTTTCCAAGAAAAAATAACTATACACAAAGCATTAGGTTATGAAATAAAAAAAGACTCAGTATACATAGCAATAGCAATATACAATGACGTTATACTTGTATATAGCTATAATCAAGTAATCCTTCAAACACACCCAATTATTGTAATCAAATTGATGTATAGAAAGAGCTTAAGACACAGTTACAACTCCAGCACATAAAAAGGGATGGATATATACTGCAGACTCGTGCTTCCTACGTACCCCTTTTCTACATTTATAAGTACTAAATATGCATTGTTAATCCTAGTCCCCGGCATAAACTTCAAGATTACTGCTACAGAAGTCATCATTCTCCCGAAGAGAAACGCACAAGCTGGAGTTCGACAAGATTCTACACATGATTGGTTCTGCCACCACGCTTCCATGGAGGAGAGCATTTTGGATGTTGCTGCTGTTCACCACCACCTTTGGCCGACAGACAATCATTCACCAAACCAGCACTGGCACCATACTACGCAATACTCTCTTGGCAATATTTGGAAGTCTCTACACCACTTCATTGCTTGTCATGTTAAAAGCTGCGGAAAAATATCAGAACCAGAAAGAAAAGAATAATGTTGTAATGGTGCCACTGATATATTTGCATCCAATACAACAGCCACAAAGAGTCCAATTAATTTTACTAAACTAATTATTTGAATATCAATTCAGAAATATCATAAACGTTTTCGTACCATATAGACTGACATTAACAAAAGTGAGTTGTTTCAAGTTTAAAATATTTTCTTCTACAATAGAAAGGACAAGTTTAATTCATGAAAACAAATTAACCAATCATGAACACTCTAGTCTATAATAAATATTTTAAGCTGGACCTATGGACCCTCAAGCCCTCATAATAGATTAAGCTCTCAATTATAGGAAATCACAGCCACAATAGACAACTTAATCCATTTGAACAGTTTACCTAGGCTGTCCTTCAAATCATTTTTCCTCAGCTAACTATGGCTGGCCTTATAAATCAGTTTAATGATGATGAATCACTTGATGTCTCCATAACCAGTCACTTAAACCAGTACCTTTCTAGACCGGCAAATGACAAGCTCGCTGAAACAATGGTTCGATTGAGATTAAATATAGATCTAGCTTTGCTAAAACTTATGAATCTACAAACGAAACATCAACCAGCATTACAACAAACCAGCATGTCATTTCAGATTCTATTTTTCCCTGCGTACAATAGAAGGTTTTGGCAAAGATGAAAAGTAAAACAGCATGGAAAAAAATTAACCATCATAAACAAAAAAGAGATTCTACAAAGAGCCCTAAGAGCTGGTTCTGACATAATTAGTTCTTAGGTGGCTTATACATCAAAAAATTCTCTGTGCGATTACCATTAATGAGGTTAGAATTGGACGGTAAAATATTTAGCAAGCCAAACTTCTCATGAAATTCAAATGCATACTCATTGGTCCATTTTTTTTTTTGGTGTGGGGGGGTGTTTGTGTTGGAGCGGAGCTTCCATCATTCAATAAAGTTTCAGTTACGGTTTCAATTTCTATTTATCAATGGGGAGAAGAAGCTCAAAAACATGAATACCTGGAGCATTTTGCGAAACTCCCGCTGCAAGGAAGATTTAACAGAAATCAGCAAATTCAAGACATCATCTCCAGCACGAATATCTGCATAGAAACCCATCCTCCTGCTACTCGGTACAAGGTAATGAGCAGCATAAGTGCCAAAATGCCAGGCTATCTTATAAGAGTTGAAAATCTCACCGATGGTTAGTCCTGGTACCTATTAGATTACATTTAAATAAAATATAACAATGTTTATCAACAACCAGTTGTCGACACTATGGCAGCAGTCAAAATTAGAAGTCAGAATCCAGCAAATCGGAAAGTAATCACAACAGCAGCAACAATAAATTGTGGCAGAAATTCAATCAATCGAGCGCCTTGAAATTGATTCAAGTTGCAGCAATGCTTTCAAATCATGCAGGATCTTTTTTGCCATAAAACACAACAAGAACTAAAACAAAATCAGAGATCATAGCCATTACCTCTAAAGGAGGTTCCAAACCGATGCTCTGAAGTCTGAAGTAGCGAAAATCCCTTAGCAGGTTTTAATCCTGTAGGAGGTTTTGCAAGTTTTAACTTTCTACTCTTCGAAGTTTCGTAAGTTTCGTATTGGCCCGATGGAATAGCGCCTTGAAACAGATTGGCAGCTTGTACTTACAGTCACCGCAAAAGCACAGCGTCATTGATCCTGCAAGCCAGAATATGATGATTAAAGAGAGAAGAAGAATATTTCCACGATCATTCAATTTGATTAATTACAACCTGTGATTCAATATCGTCATGATTCAATTTGATTAGATGCACCCTGTGATTCAATAATATGAGAAAAAGAAAGTGACAGTCATTCAAACTAAGACCAAAAAAACAATTGGTTTGGAATACATTCTACTTCAAACGTTATTTAGGGGGAAAATTTACTTTTTTTCCTCGATTAATTTTATATGTTCATCGTCAGCACTTTAGAGTTATCAAAAACAAAAGGCCGTAGAACAAGACAAACGAACAAAAGAAAAAAGGGAATTAGGATTCGTGTGCTTGCAACAGGGCGCAAACCAAAAGAACAAACAATTCTGCGATTATAAACATGGTTTATAAACATAGAAATTTTCTTTCATAATTGTTATTACCTTGAAGAAGGTGACCGGAGATGGAAGGAGGTGACCGGAGATGTTGACCGGAGATTCTACGATTGTATGATGCCGGAAGAGGATTGAATTGATTGATGCTACTCTGCGAAGCTGTTGAGGAGGGAATTGTGTTTATGGTGGATCTCTCCATCTGTATTTATAGAGGGTGAGAAGATAGCCGACTTTCTTGTGTTTCCGATTGTTACACGTATTCGGAAATAAGCCAAACTAATCCCGTCGGGTTTCGGACTTTGCAGGGAACGGTAATTGGCACATCTTCTGGAATGTTCGGAGGAGGGATAGGGATTGCAAGCCGATTTGGGAGTTTTTAGGGTTCTTGGAGAGGGGTGGGGGGGATGGATTTGATCCTGTGGTCGTCTGATTTGGGGAGGAAGCGAAGGGTCGAGTGTTTTTAGGGTTAAGGGAGTTAGGATCATCGTTTTATTTTGGGCGGTGTTCAGGGGTAAATATTTTTTTGCAGATAACGCCCTTCCAAACTACGTCGTTCTGATAAGGGAATTTTTTCCTTAAATATACCTGAAAAAAAATAAATCTTCCAAAAATTTTGTGGACAAAGTTATATGTCCCGAATTTCGGAAATCTGAATCAGAGGTAAACACGGATTTCTGAAATCCGAACTCCTCTAAACTCAGATGACAAAAATCCGAATTTGTGTTATGTAAATCCCATATTAAGTTAATGACAGAAATTAGTGTAATTAATATAAATTCGGATTTTTCAAATCCATATTTGCGAATAAAATATTAATTTCCGGATTGAAAAAAAATATAAGTGTTGGAAAATTAAATTTGGGTAAACCCGGATCACGCTAATCCGAATGTTGGTAGATTCGGATTACCGTAATCCGAATCTCCTCTGTTTTCTGCAAATTGGGAACTCTCAGTTGGCTGCATATTCGGATTTGCGAAATTCAAATCCTTTACAGAAAGTCTGGGTTTGGATTTAACCAGTCCAAAACCTGTTTACAGCACCGACAACAATAAAACATTGGAAAACAGAAATGTAATGGCAACAAAACAATAAACGGCATTCGATTAACAACGAAACAAATCAAGTTTCAAAGCAAAATCAATACAAAAACTACTTTAAATGTGCAAAATACATCAAAGGTCTCATTTTTTCCCTTTTCCTTTATTATGCGCATCCGGAGTATATTTATTTGGGCCCTGCCGGTTCCTGTCTCCCCTCTTAAGATACGTGAGTATCGAACCCTATTGTTGACGCGGTTGGGGTTGGATTGGAACTCTCCCATGGTGAGAAATAGGACTCCCGATTGTGGTTGCGACTGTCCACCAAACTGAGTCTCGGGTCCACCAAGGTCAAACTGAGTCTCGGGTCCACCGATGTCTTCAAATTGAATCTCGACCTGGATGCGAGAACCTCGAGAAGAATGTGCTTGATCCTCATTTTGTTGACCCTTAGTTTGTTGTTGCGATGTCCGAGGGGAGATTGGGATCTTTCTCTTTCTTCCTCCTCCAATCTTATCTCTCGACCACGGTTTCACTTTTTTACCCGGCGGAGGTTGTGAGGACAAAGATGGTTCTTCATCAACCAGGAGTTGGGCATCCTCCACGTCCATCTCATCATTTGCACACAGGGTTAAAGCAGCATGTGTTTGATTGATGATATCGTTCAAATGCTTGTCGAGTTCTTCGTCTAGGAGATTCTCATCTTCTCGTTTTTCTCTAAACTTCTCGGAACTCAAGCGAAAGTTGTTCAATACTTCACCCTGAAAAGAAATTGGGACGTTAATTAAGAGAGTAAAATTCAAAAAAAATAAATAAATAAATAAAAGGAAAACATAAGAAATAAAAAAAAAAATAGAATGAACTCACATATATTTTCACTCGGCTCGAAGAAGTCTCGTATCCTTGAGGTTCATAATTTTTGGAATTGGATATCAGCCTGACAATGTTCACCATGAATCATTCATAGTACCCCTCATATACGGAGCCAGGGTCTCCTTGCTCCAAATCTCGTAGCACGTACTCTTCTCTCCTATTCCAATGACGACGTACTGTGAAATTGTGATCCACCCAATTGTTGCTAAGATACCCAGACGTACTATGGGCGTGATCGAGAAGAAATGCTGCATTATCTTTAATCATACGGCGCTTGGGAACATCCTGTATGTATCCAAATTGTCTCACAACTCTGCCCGACTCGTGGGGTTCCCTAATAGCCCAACAGAACATCCAACACCTGGTCGTCCAAATGGCTTGGCCTTGTTTACAGAAATCAAGGAGTCTATGAAGGACCTTTGCATATGGTTGCCACCGAAACTGCACGAAAAGAATTTATTTAGATGGTATAACCGGAACGAAAAGAAATTCAAAATAAATACAAATACCAAATTAAGTACTTACATCTTCAATACACAGGCTTGTTAATTGATCTCTAAAAGGTGGGATGCTGCTCCTTGGGGCGTCTCTGTAGGTGTATCTACATTCCCACCTTAATGAAGAAACACGAAGGGGTGCATTTGAATTTGTAAAAAGATGAATAAGAAACAAATAGAAATAAACACTGAGTTATTTTGAAATGAAAATACATACCGCTGAGCTAATGGAGCGGTCTCATCAATCAAATAATCTACTTCTTTTCTTTGTGGCGCTAGTAAATTTCAATAATAATGTTAAAACTTCAAATTATAACGTCGAAAGCAAAAAACAATTATAACACCAATTGAAAACTAATACGTACATGTAGCAAATATAGACAACCAGTGGCATCGTGCATGGTGTACTGTGATGCCTCGCACAGTCCAGAGTACAAACCAGCCAGCAGTGCCGATCCCCAACTGTATCGACTATACTAATCCAAATCCTCAACCTGGGCCAAGAACTGCAGATTGACAGTGTTTTACGTCTTGTTAGAAAACATGAAACTGCTAATAAAATGCAGCATAAGTGTCCGGGCCCTTTGCTCGAATCGCTAGACTGTGGAACTCTCAGGGAGTGCACGGCCCATCTCATCCTCGAAAATACCAACATTGGCACATTGGCCATTTACTTGGGCTGGCCAGAATCCCAAATAAGTCTCACATCGATCCCGCCATTCATCTGCACTCCGGCTAACTATCGTCCCGTACACCGGGTCACCATCCACCCGAATACCTAAGAGGACCTCGACATCCTGTAGGCTTGTCTCTGCCTTCATAGGCTTCAACGACTGTCTTCGGACCACGTGGTAGTCCAAGGACAGCTTCCACATCTTCTTTCGTGATCTTCAGTTCTGTTCTTCTGCCTTGAATCAGTAACGTCTTATTGCTGAACATGAAATTGCGTTGCAGGTAAAGGTACAAATCCGGGTGCGATAATTTTTTTGGTCCCATATTCAAAAGGTGCCCAAAACCTGTTTCTCGAACCAACTTTTTTTGAGCATCATCAAGTTTTTCGAAGATTTTATAAGCTCCGGCTGGCGAAACTCTGCAAGTAAATGCCACATCCTGAGACTCTTTGGGCTTTTTCTTTCTCTCAGCTTCCCCCTTTTTTGGTTCTATTTTTTGCACAGCACCATCATACACATGTTTTCTCTTTGTATTTCTTTGGCCAGTGCCTGCTTTCGTCTCTGAAGCTGCCTGTTTCTCTATTTCATGTTTATACTTCGTCCGTTGTTCTGTGCTGAGTGATGTGGACGAGTTAGAAACTTACTATGTTAAAGATTTTGACGCTTGACTGTTTTCCCCTACATTTGTTGAGGCTGCAATCTTCTTCTGTGCTTCTGTTTCATCACCGCCATCTTTCCTTTTCCTTTTTCTCGCTTGGGCGGCAGATGTAGATGACACCCTTTGTAGTTCATCATTCTCTTCTTGAGTCTTGTCTTTATTGCCTATCCTGCCACTCTTATATTCATATCTGTTGCAAGAAAACATTCACATTACTGTTTAGCGCATAGCAAATTAGCAAGACATAATGCAGGATGAACTTTTGGTACTAGGCAGTGAATATAAATCCACAAATCAACATCGAAACATACAAGTTCAGCATCAAATCATGCAAATTGAACAACCTAACATTCTCTGTCAATTTTTGCATCAAAGCATACAGGATTAACAATAAACATTCTCTGCCAAGATGAGCATCGCAACATACAGTAAGAGAATCTAAGCATACAGGAAGAGCAACCACACAAACAATACATCAACGTTTAAACGAACAAATGTACAACTGGATGTTAGAACAATTTTACTCATGATGAACAAGACCTAGGCTCTTATGTAGTCTCTGGGGTAGATATTTTTGCTCGCCTTGTGGTCACCATTTTGCTGAAAGTATCAGTGGATGAACATGAATGGCTACTCATCAATAAAGCTCTATTGACAAAATTATAAATTCCAAACCCTAGTTATTGAAAACAACTATTGTTCAGTTTAACAAAATGCGAGTCCTTACTCTTTGTAATCGCGTGCTTGAATTTGTATTTTGGGAGGAAACTCTTTCGGAGGAGGTTCTGCCGGAAATCAGGAGTGACAAAGCGCCGGCGATATTTGGGAGAAATGGACGGTTCGTTTTTTTATTTATGTGAAATTTTTTTTTACATTATTTAAAACTGGATACTACAAACTGAAGAGGTGGGGAAGATGGTTGCAATGGGCTGTTGTGGGCCATGGAGCTCCATAGTTGGGTAGTTGGGTGGTTTTTTTTTTATTTTTTTGAAACTCACACCTTGGTTTTGATAATATAATGAAACACGTTTATTTCATACGTGTGATTTGTACTGTACGACGTTTATTTCAAAATTTATCACTACATAAAAATCACCTCTCATTCGATAACTGTAAAAATGCCTTTAATACTGGAACATAAAATGAGATTCCCATATTTGAATTTCAGCAGATATCTCTTTTGTTTCCTTAACTTCACTGAACTAATGTTCATATGGTCAAACTACAATGTTCATCCTGTAAAAGACAATGTTCAGCTGGACTAATGTTCATCTGGTTAAATTATAATTTTTTTGGGAAGTCCAAAATTAGCCAAAGCAATGATTTATGTGGAATCTATTTTGCCCTTTTCATTTGTTTTTCCATTTCGGCTATTCAATTTAGCCAAAGCAATGAGCACATAAAAAACATTCAATGTAAATCCTAATTTTGTCAACATTGTTATTCATGATTATATACATGAAACTGTGAGACGAAATGGAGAAAAATCCGTAGTTGTAAAGTTCCTAAGCAGCCACATCATAATTTACGGTGTCAAATTATACACCAATTTCATTACCACAAATAGTAGTAACGTTTCTTACAATGTCTTACGGCAAAAAAAATTGTAGGATGCATACAAAAGGACACTAGAAACACATTTCCAGTCTGGTTCCTACACCCCACAAAGACATTAACACGTCTACCACTACATGTCACATCATAACATCCAACTACCCAAAATATCATGCCTAAAACAAGAGAACTCTGTTTGAATACAATAAACACAGCCATGCTAAAATTCATCATTTTCCAGTCTTCATAGGTTGCACCTCGATGTGTTTGCCTTACCCAAGTCTTTAAAGATATCATGCAAGTCATTGGTTAATGCAATGAGATTAGCTGTCATTTCTGCATCTATTTTGACCTGATTAGAACCACTCGTAAACATACCATCTGCTGCTGAAGAAGGGAGTTTGAACCCATACTTCGCATAAAACTCATTGCCTCTAGCAACAACAATAGCTGTCTGTTCAGTGATGTAGTCAGTAGTTCTGTTTGAGCCCCAATGAATCTTCCCATTTGGTTCCTTCAGATTTTCAAGTTGTTTGGCCATATTAGACTCAGCATTAGCTGTAGGTTTCGGCACCACATGACAAAAGAGTTTCTGGAACTTTCTTGGCTGGGACAATTCCTGTTAATGCAGGCATAATAAGAAAGCATACCACTCAATTTAAGGCTGAAAACAAAACTAAAATATCACCTAAATGACTAGTAATCATACCTCTGCCTTGGAAGTCTTTTTTTGTATCCGCCAGTAGTTGAGTATCAGCATTTGGCTCACCAATTGGTTCATCAATTAGCTTATAGCCACAATTTGCGCTCAACTTTCCTTTCTTTTTCTTCTTTGTAGCCTGATCATGCGCAGGAACATTTATTGTCCTACCCCGTAGTGTTTTTACTTGTGGAACGGGCAAATTACCTAATATCATTACGTTTGGTTCATCACTTGCAGCCCTTTTTTGACTTTGTTGGGGCTGTGACACGTCAAAAGAAAATTTTTACTAACATGAACAAAGAAGGTGGGGGTGGATATGCTTGACACATGCATTAATTAAACGTAAAGGGTTTGGGGGTAGACCTCATTTCCCTTGCTATTCTCCTTTGTCTTTCTGACAGTTTTAGGAATTTTTTCGGGCTGTGACAGAATTTGTTTCCCTTTGATATTATCATTTATTGACTGGGATAAAATCTACAAAAAAGAAACAAAGCAATAAAAACCCAGATTACTACTTAAATTAACACAGATTACAATCAAACTCATCCGAAATCATATTATATGGAGTAACCTTTTGTTTGGCCTTGCTAATCTCCTTTGTAATGTGGACACTTTCCATAATTACTAGGGGCTGAGATACACTCTAAAAAAAAAAAGAAAGTAATTATGATGTGTTCTTCTGAAGTTGTACAAATGAATACAGTAAGAACACAGTATGGAGTTTAACTCAACTCGTACCATGTTCTCGTTTTTCTTCAATTTGTCTGTTTTTAGGGTTTTTCCCCCCTGCAAGATGCTTCGTTCAATAACATCCTCCTGAATGCTAGTTTCATCAATAAGCTTTCTCTTAACCTATTTCAACACTATCATGTTAGAAATGGCATACCCAAAACAAAAAATGGTCTTAATATTTAACGAGAAAAAATAAAGAATGAATTACCAGCATGTGGGTTTTCTCCACATTATGCTCAACCTCATCAGCTGGTTCATTTTGTGTTACTTGTGATACTGTCCTTGAGGGGCACTTTCTCCTATTATGCCCTTCTATTTTACATATGGAACAAGTCATGATCTGTCCAACCCTACTAAGTTTCTGCTTGCCATCCTTCTCAATTATTCTTTCAGCAATACTCATTTTCCTTTTGTTCTTCTTTGCCCTCCCTGGACCTCTATCGCAAACAGGTGCCAAAAGAGGATTACCTGGTACCTTTTCCCACTCTTGCTCACCCCTCATTGGCATAATGCAAGGCTGATAGTACTGCTGATAAGTTTGAACACTATAGCATTGATCCACATAATCCATCGGGTCTTTTTCAACACACCAAATCGTATATATTGCATGTGGGTAAGGTACTCCACACAACTACCATTTTCGACAAGTACAAGTTCTTTCGTTCAAGTCCACAGCATAATTACCAACATCACCACTTCCCCCCTCAACCTCAAAATTGAACTCATCATGCGGTGTAGCTTGACAGAGTTTTGCTTGCTTGGAGTTAGTGGTAACCCTCTTGAAAATCCATGGACAAATGGCCCTGTCCTTCCACAAACCGTTAGCCATTTCTCTGTTTTCATACCACCTCTCAACAAGTGTCCTTTTAATTTCATTAAGCATGGAGATTATAGGCATTGATCTAGCATCTTTAATCATTCCCTTAAATGACTCACAATGGTTATTGAGAAGGATGTCACATCTTGGGCAAAAACTGAAGAAAGCCCGGCACCACTCAGATGTCGATTTGTCCTTAAACCAATTTGCTACTTCTGGATTCAGGGCAGCCATCTCTGCCATATAACCATCGAACTGAGCCGCAGTTTCGGATTTAGCTGCTGCCCAAAGCAAGTGCCTGAGTGCTTCACCCTTATACCCTTCATCTGAAAAATTGTGGTGCATATGCTTCACACAAAACCTGTGTTCGGCATTTGGAAAGACTGATTTACAGGCCTGAATAAGGCCTTTCTGTTTATCACTCATCAGAGTCCAATCATTGTCCCTTTCAATCTTTAAGTCCTTCTTCAACAGATTGAGAAACCACTCCATGATTCATTACTCTCACCTCAGCTACAGCCCAAGCAATTGGAAAAATCCCATTATTTGGATCAAGACCAACTACCGTGAGTAAGACACCTCTTGTTGTCCCCTTCAGAAAAGTTCCATCAATACCTATAACAGGCCTACAAGCGCAAGAAATCCATCTCTAACAGCAGCAAAGGAGATATACAGTCGTAAAAATCTTTGCTGGCCAGTCTGGTGATCCACATAGGAAGGATCTGGAACCAATTCAACTGTCGAACCAGGATTACTGTTTAATATTTCACCACAATAATCCCTCAACTTCTCGTATTAATCCCCCACTGAACCATAAACAATTTGCATGGACTTCTTTATGGCTCTGTAAGCTTGTGATTTTGACAGGTCCAAATTGTACTTTTCCTTTGCAAGACTTATGTATTCCCTAGTACTGATCGTAGCATTATCCTTCACCAACTGAACACATATCCTACCAGCAATGCCTGCTGTAACACTCTTATTATTCTGGCTGAATTGACACTTATGCCGTTTAACAAATGTGGTCACCACAGGATACCGAATACAGTTGCTGATAAATATCTCCCAATCATAGTTTATAACTTTCTTCTGGGTTTTCTTACTGATCTTGTCATCCTTCTTGAACCTCTCAGGACAAATAACCTTGATTTTGTTTGTGATTAATTTTGAACTTCCATTTTCGTCCTCTCTTCACGTTCCAACGCCTGATTGCTTCCTTACATTCTTCCCGAGAACTAAAGGTCAATCCACATTTTAGGGGTGGATTATTCATGTCCTCTGGATGAAAGACTAAACCCTTATCTTTATCTTCAGCTCTAGTGACTGACTTGGACAGCTTTGTCGCTCCTGCAACAGATGTAGACGCTTCATGATTAACAACCTCTGCTTTACCATCATTACCATCAGCTACATCATCATACTCATTCTGAGATTCATCTTGGTCGTACTCTGAATCCCTTTCTTCCCAATCACCATCGCTGCTGTCACTATCACTGTCACTTCCATCTTCACTAGCATCTTTGGAAGTTGTATCATCCACTACTGTAGTAGCTGGTTAATCATACATCACCAGGAGCCTGCCACCAGCTAGAACATCTCTGCACAAATCTTCCACTTTACTGTCAGTTGTAACCTCCTCAAAATCACCGTCGTCCCCCTCATGAATGGAGTAAAATTTCGTTTCCCCCTGGTTCCCGGATGCAGAATCACACATAGTGTGCAAATCAAAGAGCAACAAGCCATCAGAATCAACATTATCATATCTACTAGTCTCCCCACCAACATAACGAGGATAGGGGTTCTGTTTCTAGTATTCCATGATGGAAAAACTGGACCGTCAAAAGCTTGTTGTTGCTTTCTGCACATGACATAAGATACACCAACATTAGGACCCTACATTGTCTTATATTGTTGTTGTCAAAAAAATAGTACAACTTGACTATAATAACAGCAGCGTAACCCATAAAAAAAACTTAAAGAAGCCCTCTCATTGGCAAAATACTGGACCACAACATATATAACAACCTGCTTACCAGACAAAGCACAAAAAAACAATTGTAAAGGGCCCTTCATCTTAACAAATAATGAAACGAAACTGACCTGTTGATTGTACTTGTCCCTTTTCTATTGAACATAAAGGGCCCTTGATCTTACAAAAAAAAAAAAAAAAATCCCCATCGCCCAGAAACCGTATTAAAAAACAAAGGGGAACAATATGAACTAATATGACTTAATCAATTCACCCATCGAAATTGTCAAGAAAAGAAGGGACAAATCTGTCCCAAAGTCACAACCTAACCCCAATCCAAATGTATTAAAAAAAATAATGGAGATGACCACTCAAAAACCTAAACCCTAACCCTGGACCCAAATTCTCAAACACGGACATGAACAAAAAGCAAACTTTTTGACATTCCAATCAAGAAAACCAGCAGATCTATGCATACAAAGGACAAGAACACTGAAGAGGACAACAGCTTACCGTAGTTAGGAACTGGGTCGTCGTTATCGATTTTCTCTCTCAATCGAGACATTGAGAGAAGCTAATCGACTATTTTGCTTCTCTCCTTCCTTTGCCTTCGATTCGCAAATGTTTCCCTCGATTATTACGGTTGAATGATATTTTTATTTCTCTACATCTATGGGTTTTTGTGGAAGTCAAGTTTGGAAGTTGAGTTTGGAAGTTCACAAAATGAATCGAACCCTCAAGTTCTGCGTATTTTTTTTTGTTTCCTGTTTCTATATATTAAATTTGTCTTTTGTTTTTTTTTTGTCAACTGAAAGTAGGTCCCACTGTATCATAAATGGTCACTGAAATAATTGTTAGTTCAGTAATAGTCACTGAACTAATGTTCACCTGGTTAAACTACATTGTCATCCTGTAAAACACAATGTTCATCTGGAAGCTGTGGTTCATCCTATACAACATAATGTTCATCTGGTTAAACTAGAACCCAAACCTATAATGGAAATGCGTAAACCCCCCTAAAGGTGCTAAACCCTCAGTGACATGACCATGAATTTATACAAAAGTTTTTTTTTGGTTGAATTTTTTTTTTTTACCGGTTAGGCCCTACCCTAATGATGGGAAAATCGTTAAATTCTGTCAACATCCGTTAAGTGGACTAAACATGAATCTTTAAACGAGAAACGTGGCCAAAGAAAATAGTCACCAAAAGTTGTGACCCCCTTATTGAAGTGCCCACTTTTGCACGGTGATTTGGAAGATACACATTCACTTTGTAACGTCAAGTACACACAAATAAGAAACGGCAACATCGGCTACACATTAATTGTGTGCACTTGGATTATGTTTTTATGTAGTCATACCAAAATAATATTGTTGCCATCGTACACAAAACATGACCATGATGGATGTCAAGATGCCCTAATATGCCGTAACCATTGCACAAAAGATCGGCACAGTAAAAGTTGCAAAATTCCTGGGTGCGAAACTATGTTAATAAGTCCCATATATGCATCAAAACAATCTATTAAGTTCTGTTAACATTATACTTCCTACTGTTAACGCTTCCCGTTTGACACTTCTTCTAAAAATGATCTTTTCTCGCTACCACCAATAGACTCATTGTGCCTTAAGCTTGATCCGTATCTTGTGTACACTTCCCAAAGCGGTATGCTGCATATGTGGTGTCTGTGCATTAGGTTTATAACACAAGGCATCCCCTATGGTTGGCCCACGATTCTGCTTGCACATTACATATATGGACTGACAATGCACTTGTAAAGAAGTGGATAAATCGTGTAACCACAAAGATGAGAATGGTAGGACATACCGGCATGGTGCGGCTATGTTCTTCCACATTTGGGGCGGCAGTACGACCAATTTCAGGTGGGTGCTATGTAGTATTGACTAAATTTGCACCTTCTTGTTCAGAGTGGTTCGGATCACCACACATATCTGGATTTCCAGTGGGTGCAGTACTATGAATCTGGTCGTGGACACAGAAAACTGAATTAATAATTCAATTGAACATCCGAGTCAAACAGAACACATACCAAGCACATACACAACACTTTTGTTTTTATCATGTGTTCCTTTCTCCTTATACATGCATACTTGTTTAGGTGGTTGTACGGAACTACCACCCATTTCAGCACCTCCTTTCTTCTTGTGCAGCACAATCATTCTGGCCATGATTTTAAAAAAATGAAACAAATGTGTTATAGGAAAAATATCCAACTGAACTATGAAGTATAGTTCGGGTACAACAAAAGGCCACTAATCGAGTGAAGTTTCGGTTATAAGAACAAATACCTCCATTACAGGATCAGTGCATCTTCTCACATTATGATTTCCATCTGCTACAATGCATTGTCACTTGTCTCTTCGCCCTCACTGTTCCATCATCTTAAAACTGAGTATCGTCATTAGGTTTTTTTTCTTCTTATGGCTGCCCTAAGCATTGCGGTCAAGTGGAGGTTGTAGTTCGACATTCTTTGTCACTGGCCATCGATCCATATGGTCAATTGGATACAACACATTCTCATATAGGCTTACCATGTCTTCCTTGGAGTAGTAGGGGCTAACATAGTCGGTAATTTCACCCCCTTGCTTGAGAATTCAACAGACTGCATGAACACAAGGGATACCTCGAAGTTGCCACAATCGGCATGAGCATGTCTTTCTTTGCATGTACACCACAAATTGGCTAGAAGGCCCTACGCATTGATATCCGTCTTTACCGTTGCCTGTAGCCTGCCAGGGGATTGACATTTTCATGGTGTCATACATGATTTCTTTGATGCCGGGGGCAACAAAAGGATAAGTTCTAATCCAATCAGTCCTCTTCCTGATTCGAGACATCTGAAGGGTCTTAATTTCCTCTAGCATTGTGAGTATCGGTTTCTCCCGTGCTTCTTCTGTCATCGCTTTAATTTTTGCACACATATTTACGAGAGTGTCACATTTTGTGTCCTCGGAGAAGTTAGCCTTTACCCAATGCCTTGGGTGAACTGCTTGTCGCACTGTGTTCCATGCATCTCCATTAATAGCCTTCATCGTAACTTTGTTCTTTTTGTAGGACGCAGTTTTGGTTGAACATGCTACATCCCACAACAGTTGTTTCAACATGTTCCTGAAGACGCACAGAACAAAATTAGGCAGCTTCAGTTGAAAGATGAATCCCAAATCCCATTACAAATGTAAATAACATAAACATATTACTGGGGTGACGCGTCTTGAACTCTGTATACATATGTTGCACACATTTTCTTTACTCACAGTTGGGTAAGGTGTGGGTCAATGCTCTTGCAAGCCCCTGAAAAGCAGTATAGTAATAGTAGTATGTTTCTGTAGAAGGTAATGAAAAGGGCATAATCCAGTACCAATGACACTACAAAGGTAAAGCATGTACCCTTCAATGAAGCAAATCAAATATTTACGTGCCTCATGTTGATCTGACATTACACTGTAATGTGAAGAAGCATCCAAGGTGAGGTCGTTATTCAATATGGACAAGAACCATTCCCACTGCTCCTCACTATTGTCTTCCACAATAGCCCAAGCAATTGGCCACCAACCGTTGTTGTGGTCAATTCCAATTGCTGTCAAGAGTTGGCCTGGGTAAGGCCCTTTGATAACACATTCATCCAAACATATAATTGGTCTACAATGCACCTTGAATCCCTTTTCAGGGGGCCTAAACAGTTGTAAAACCTAATAAATGTTGGGTTCTTTCCTGGGGAATAATGCACCTCCACCGTATTGCCAGGATGAGTTCTCATAAGCTCCTATTTGTGATTAAAAATCAGCTTGTAATGGTCTGCTGCATTGGATTTTATAATACTTTCCCGTGCCATGGATCTAGCCTTGTATGCCACAGAGTTTCCAATTTCAGCGTCGAAATCATCATGAACACACTTCTGTATGAGAGATATGGGATGTGAGGATCAGCTCTAAATTTCTCCAAGTACCTTTTTGCCAACCATTTTGCAGAGACCTTCTTGTTCTTCTTATCCAGAGTGCAAACTGTGTGAATATCTCTCATAGGATGCACGACGAAAAAATTAGAACCATCATGACTTATCTTCTTCACATATACAAACCATTTGCATCCTCCACTGCACGTTGCCCTTAGAAGGGCACCATCATTTGTGTACATGGTCACCGGTCTACCCGACAAAATGGAGTAAGTTTTGACGGCATTCTTAAAGTCATTCTTAGAATCGAATTTTTGATGCAACCAAAACTCTGAAACACCATCTGTACTCTTAAAATTTGTGTACCTACCTTGATGGGAAGCAGCTTCATCATCATTCATGGGGTCGCTATGGAGTTCTAGATTGGCATTATCCTCCCACATGTCAGTTACTTCTTCTGGACCCTTATCTTTAAACACACGCTTTGGTCTGGGGTATACTCTGCCATTAGAGGATTTTGAAGACTTAGCCGGAACTGTTTCTCCAGAGGGCGGACCTTCACGTGAAGCAACAACACTCTCAGCCTTAGGGTTCGTTGATGATCCAGATTGATCATATGTACTACTGTCCCTTTCTGCATCGTTGTCCCTGACGGTAGGTTGACTGGCCAGATCTGTGTCCCTCAGAAACGACACACCATTGAAGTATGTATCACCCAAATCTAAGCTCCCCACCCTACTAACAAACGAAGCAAACAAATGTTCATCTCTGCACAATCCGAACACATTATCCATGTTTGCAAAACGATATCAGGAGAATCCACACCAACTGTCCCATGATGCCTAATAATTGTTTCAACCCGTTGGTAAACTTCCGGACAAGAAGCATGCTTCTCAGGACCTTCTGCAACAATGTATCGCACTCGTTTTGTCTCATCAACGCCACCAGTACATGTTGCATACTGCCCAGCTTCATGGACTGCTTCGTGAAGATGATCATCATCACTTGCATCTACAACTACAACATCTTCATTAGGTCTGTTGGTCCCAAGGAAGTTACATGCTCCATAGTTGGTTCTGTTACGAGGAGAAACCACCTCTTCATCAGCAACATTCGCGTGGAAATGAATACCGTGCTGCCCTGCCGAGTTGTGGTATTGAGATGGCCCCGTTGCGAAAGCAACCACACCACTACCTGATGAAAAAATGACACCATTGTGGTTAAAGGGGCCAATAAGACTTTTACAGTAATTTGCAACTCCCGATGCTGGATGGCTAGCAACTGAAATTGAATCAACTTTTCCTTCACCGTCGGTAATCTTCTGTGATTGAGGAATCTGGCCGGATGCTTCAACTTCACTGCGACCAAATGATTTCCTAAATGGTCTTTCAAGAAGCTCAAGGAACTCATGATCTGCATCTTTCCATTCAATGAGGTGATCCCCTGTTTGAACTGTTGTATTTTTTTTTTCACAAGGCTGACTGGCATGTGTATCTCTGAAGCAATCTCCTCTATGGTGACACTGGAATTTTTTACAATGTATACATTCGCTGGGGTTCTAAAAGCATTGCATTCTTTAGCCGCGAATTCATCATACACCTTGCCCTGATCTTCTTTCAACCTTTCATCAGCTTCAAAAGGAGTGACATGCTCACAATAAACATCGAAAATCCTGTACTCCCCAACAAAATCCGGTAAGGCTCTTAAATGCGAAGGTTCCAACAATGGAAGTAATTCAACAGTGTTGTGCTTCTTGGGGTGCCTGTAGTAACTGTAAACAATAGTTTTCCTATGGTATCTCAATCCCACTATAGCAGCACTAAGATGTGCAAGGTTGAAATAATTGGCATTGCAGTAGTCAAGGTATGAAACCTTTCCCCTGATGTATTCCCACGGAGTAGAATCTGTTACTTTTCCACCGTGATGAATTCTGATAGTAAAATATTTGGTGTCGCGGCCTGTATTATTATTATACCCAAACCATAAGGAAAAATACCATGCATATATTAACGAAAAGGGGTACTCAAATAAGAACAAAAATCTTCCTGGACAAAGAACTAATAATACAAAGTCAAGGTACAATCCTAATTCCATATGTAACCCAAAACCCAGACCAAATGTTTAGTGCCCAGAGTGGATACAAATGTTTTTTAGGCCCTTTTATAACCATGGTTTCAGTGACATAGACAACACATTTCAGCAGAACCAACCAAAATATAAAAATTAACTGTCAACAGAATCTAGGGTTCCACTTATAACCCACAAAAAGATGGAACGTTCAGTGAAACTTACCGTAGGCCATATAGGGATCAAAGGAGACTCCAGCTCTGCAAAATTTCCCATTCATCCACATCATGAATCACTACAGGAACTGGGGGCTGCCGTGAGGTCCCGGCCGATTTCCTCTTAACCATGGTAGGGTTTGGTCGAATGTTTTTCCGGTTAGGGTTATGTTGGGTCATCGGCCGCAGTTGGTTTATTTTGTACATGACACAATGACCAAAGTACCCTCAATTTCAAATTGGAGTAATTCCGACAAGGGAAAAAAAATAGTTGAGTGACCATTTACGTTTGAATTATATTTTTTCCAAAAAAAAGAAAAGGTGATCTTTTTGAATTATTATTAAAGTTGAGTGATCTTTTTTGTAAGTCATAACTATATCAGTCTAATTGCGACAACATACAGAGGTAGTTATAATTTATAGTAGACACAACATCCCAATCATACAACACATACAATAGAGTTCTCCAATAAGGTTTCTCCCAATTATACAACACATTACAAGTAGCGTATTTCACATGAAAATGGAAATCTTCAATCGGGAGGCAAACATCCTGCATTATATGTCAGTTCGGCCGGTCCATCCATATCGTATCTGCCAAAGCATCCCGAAAGTTCTCCCGTAGAATGGTCATCTGGGGAGACTCGTCAAGCGGTTGAAATTCGCCAATATAAGGCCCTTCCGCATCCTGGTGGGCCTGAAAAGCAATGTCATCCTCCCGGTCACCATCCGCCGGGAAATGATCCATAAGGAGATTGTGAATAGCTCAACATGCAATGATGTAATCTCGCTGTGAGTCAAGATTCCACCTAAACATTGAACCCAAAAGTATCTGGAACCGGTTCTTCAGGATACCAAACGCTCGCTCTACGACATTTCGTATGGATGCATGCCTATGATTGAACAAGTCTCATGCAGAATCCAACTCGGATCTCCCGGCTCCACGCTCCGCAATGTGGTATCCATGTTTTCTGAAAGGTGCTAAAAATCCTGGGATGTTTTTGTACCCGGAATCAACGACTTAATACTTTCCGAGCGGAGGGAATGGAAAACATAAACGCTCATCCGTTACTGCAGCTTGAAAAACTGCAGTATCATGAGCGCTGCCTTCGACTCCAGCATAGACGAAGGTAAAGCGTCTATCATGGTTAACTGTCATCATTACATTAGTAGTGAGATTCCCATGCCTATTACGATAATGGTACCCACACATTAATGTGAGTCCCATCAATTGCGCCAACACGATCCTAATAACAGGTAACCATTCGTTTTGTTAATACAAACGCGATATAAAGTTCATACAACATAAAAGATAATATTGTACACGAGAAAGGCACCGTGCACAACAAAATTTAAATACAGGATGAGCAACAGAGTATATGAGATGAACATTATGCTGTTACTGGATGCATATCATACATGTTTAAATGAACAACAGAAAAATCTTATTGGAATCTGTGGCAGTGAAAAAAAAGGAATTCGAAGCACCGTGAATTGGGACAACAAACATAAGGTTGATAGGATTGTACAACAGAAAGTCACCGTGGACATCATACATAAACACAGGATGAGCAGCACAGTGTATGCGATGAACATTCTACTCTTACAGGATGCATATTGTACATTGTTAAATGAACAACACAAAAAAGTAGTAATGGAAGCTGTGCAGTAAAAAAAAAAAAAAGGAATTCGAAGCACCGTGATTGGGACAAAAAAAAAAAAAGAAATTGTACACCAGAAAGTCACCGTGAACATCATACTTCAAACACAGGATGAGCAGCACAGTGTATGAGATGAACATTGTAATATTACATGATGCATGTTGTGCATTATTCAATGAACAACACACAACTTCTAATGGATTATGTTTGGTGTGGAAGAAAGAAGAAATCGAGGCACCGTGATTGGGACAACAAACAGCAATGAGAACAAGTAAAACAAAATACGAAGTCAAGCAATATCCTAAAAGTAAGGCATAAGAGATGAAGTGCGTGCTATCTTTGGATGAGTTGATGTTTGGAACTGAGGACGAATAACTAGTTTGGCAAACCTGGCAATTGCCTCAGCCATATCGCGAATGGTTCGTGACACCGTCTCCTTCGACCGCTCAAACCTATCTTTAGTAGTACGAATAGTTTGATCGCCAGCAACCATATACAAAAACAAAAACAAAGCTTCATCGATAAGAACTTTTTCGTTGTGATGTTCAACCCAAAAGCCATTATCCAAAAGGCCTCCGTGCATAGTCGATTTACATCATAGAGTTTTGCTGGGTTTGGATGATTAAGCACTCGATATGCGTACTGTTCACCCGACTCAGGAGGCTCCAAATTTTGTGGATTCAATACTTGTTGTTGTTGTTGGTATTGATGGAGAAGGTGAAGCATCAACAAATTCGAAAAATCTTGGTGAGCAGCGTCACCAATATCCGATGATATGTCATCGGAATCTTCATCGCTGTCATTTTGGTAAGTAGAAGGACCAGCACCAGTCATATGTATCTGCTTGCCATTTAAGAAGGAGGTAATGTAAAATGACAAAAAATTGACAAATCCAATGCACTTATAATTGATCACAACAACAAGTGAACACACCGAGTTTGACAAACCGTTAAAGTCAACAATGCCCGTAGAGAATGTTTTCCCGTAATGGTCTATTTTAGGGAGGGCTACTTTGACAAATGAGAGTGATACAAAATGCCACCAAAATGAATTGCATATGGACGTCGAATTAAGTACACAATAAAGTGCCGATTTCATGCAATGTTTGTTCAATTCAAGCACTGTGAGTTGTGGTGTCCTAAGTATAGGAAACTTTCACAGATCCAAACAAAGGTCATAACACCCCCCTCCCCCCATTCTACGTAAAACTGAACATTATGCAATGTGTAATGATTTTTTTTTTTTTTTTTGGATGAGTTCATTTGCAATCCTACATTTGGACTAAAACCATATTCAAAAGACTAGCAATCGTACCATTTACAAATGGGAAAATTGAAATCAAGAGAGTAGAGACATTCCTAGATCCACACCATTCTCAAGTGCATCTCCATTAAATAATTTACAACTTTTTCAAAAAAAAAAAAGTATTAGATCAACGCAAATGTATACAACAAACTTTTACCCGTTTGAGCCTCGTACTGGTAGGGGAAAATGACACATAAAATGTGAGCCGATTGTGGCAACGAAACTGGAGAAGCAGCGGACTGGTACAACACTTCTTTGTTCTTAGCTGGTCCAAAGGTGGTGATAAGAAATTAGTGGACTTTGGGTGTTTATTGTTCTGTAGCAAGAGTAAAGTTTCTGTGTTTTTTTGAAATAAAAATTGTGGAAGACGGTCCTTTTTCCATGCTTGTCAACTTAGACACATTTGTGCGACGTTTTGGGTAATGATCGGTTTGTCAAAACAAAACAATCTAAAGTAAACCAGCAACATTTAACGCATACTTCCCCAACCAAATTACAAACAACATTTTGGAAATCAATCATAATGTTAATTGTTGAAATACAATGAAACAATGCTCGCGTACTCAAATGAGGAAATTAATCGGTACACAAATATGATAAAAGTGCGTTACAAACGCAAATGGGAACTAAAACCTACAACCAATACATGGCAATTAAAGTGTTTCAAGGTAGCCGCTGAACCCACTCATACTTCTCTTCAGGCCTCAATGCCAAGAAAATGTATGCCTTATGCTTATGCTTTGTTATCTCATCAATTGCTTTCCAGAAATCTGGTTTTGGAAGTCCCATTGAGTAAAGAGCGTCGATGGACTCTTGCAGGCTCGACCTTCGTGCTCATACGAAGTTGATTCTCTTTTTGGACGTCATGATACAGCTGCAATGCGCTCTGAAAACTTGGTTCATCTCCCTTACTCTTCTTTGTACCACAAGAATCAATTGTTGACGGGCCACCTTCAACAGGCCTTTGCCCGTGAGAGTTTATTGTAGGACTGTCATCATCAGTCGGATTGTCAGTGACGTCGTCACCTGGTCTCCAAGAGGATGAGCCACCACGCGGCATGTTTACCGTTTGCGCATGAAAGAGCTCAGGCAACGCATCATAGAGTGGGAGTGGCTTGTCCCTGAATCTGATTGCGCCCGCAATTCTCTGGGGAAATACCAGTTTGAATATGATTAGTGCTTTTGAATGTAAACTTACAAAACACCTTGCATACTACGACAAATAGCGTATAGGGAATGTAAGGCATAAGGCTACCAAAAGGCGACAAAAAAGATGACCAAATTCCAATGAACATCACAAGGTGAAGAAATTCATTGTTTAACAGGTGAAGAAATTGTATAGTTTGACATAGCAATACCCCAGAGTAACATGAACATCACAAGGTTACAGGATGTGTAGTATTTAATACAAGATGAACGTTACGGGTTAATGAGATGAATATTGAACCTCAGAAGGTTCCTATTAGAGTGACTAATAGAAAATGCAGGCCAAGCTGCACATCATAGCTTTATAGGATGAGCAACAGCTATTACAGGAAGCACATCAAGTTTTGACAGTTGAACTTGACGTTTTACAGTGAACTTCAGGCATAGGAAGATAACAAGCACAAAAAGACAGACAACAATATTTATTTTCAGCATAGCAGTCCCCAAATATTATCAGTATAGCAGAACCACAAATAGAGAAAAACTTCCACTTCGAAATGAAAAAAGGGAAAAAAGTTTCAAGTCTGGTTACGAACGCAGCGATTAACAATAAATAGACAAATTTCAATATAATGAACATTATGGTGACGAAGAATAACAAGCCTATGCCGGGATCACCAGTAGTGAACATCAACAAATAGCTTAAGGAAGTACGCATTTTACGCAATCATACAAAGCAAAGAGAAAGACTGCCATTGTACGTTTGCTATTCAATGATACCCAATTGTTGTAAACAAAAACTTTCAGTTCATCATTCCAGCCTACACCAGTTGTAGCTTTAATTTTATCCCAAATTTTCCACTCACGCTTCAGTCTATCCTATTTCTGCTTCAGTCTTTCAACATCTA